AGGGATGGATGGAGGGGGGCTGGGCCGGATTGAAGCCCAGTCCAGTCCCCACCCACCGATTTTTTTTAGTTAGAGAAAAAATATTATGTAGACCGACTTATAATCTGGTCATAGATCCACCTCTGATATTGATCGTAATAACCAACTTTTTTAAAATACAACAATCAACGTAAGTATAAAGTTTGTTGACATCTAAATCAGATTTTGATGTCAATAGGGTTCATATTCTTCTATCGTCTTTGAACATTTTATTACATAACATTCATTGCAATTTCATTGAATTGAATTGAATTGAACTGACCTAGTTTAAAACAAGTTCTTTTCTTTCAATTAATTGATGGATGAAGAATAATCATAAATAAATCTAGAATCATAATAGTCAAGTGGAATAACGCGATTTAATGGAATTATAATGGATGCGTAAAGCGACTCCAATGGCTAATGAAGTTTCAAAGAACAAATAAGACCTAATTGGAATTGAAAAACGTGACACTTTCTATTTTCTTCCTTACCTAACCCCAAAATAGATGTCCTATGCCTTTTAATTTGATTTTACTTAGGAGCATGTCTTGTGTTTACATTACAATACAAAATATTCCAAACATTTTTTTTCGTATAATATCAAGATATATATTGTGTCGTCATTCTTACTAATCAACTCTTTATCCCGATTAAGTGAAACCGTGTCTACGACAACTAATTCTAAATAATTAGTCATCTCTCCTCGTTTTGTCATAAAGCTTTGTGTGACTGACAAAATTATTCAATACTATATTTGGAAATACACGTCCGAATCAAATAGCACTAAATTGCCATTTGGAGAGGAAGGACTAATTGTCAGTGTGGACGATTTCGAAAAATCCTACTAAAGGGTCTATTAGAGATCAAATATTATCGAAGAAATAACAAGAGCTTTCTTTTGTCCCTTCAGATGATCGAAAAATACTCTCTCGTCTCCTTTTTTCTTTTATTGAACCATGGACTGTTTCCTTTTTTGTTGCTTCTGTAGAGGTTAGCATAGCATTTTCAGAATAAAGAATTTAATTTCCTCCTCTTTCAAGGAAAAAATGAAGAACTCATTAGAAAAATTATAATCAGAAAACATATAATAGAAAATAGATTATAAGGTGATGCAAGAAATGACATCATTTTCATAGCAGACTTTAATGGAGTAGGTGTAATAAGCAATAAGACAAAAAAAATATTTATATTTTAATTGTAAAATCAATTGAATATTTTATAATTATGTATCATACCCCCAAATTAAAATAAGTTCCAGCGCCCACTGTAAGTTAAGCCAACTCTATCTTTCTCTAAGCCTGAATTTGACAGCTCCAGCAGTCTCTAATCCTTATCATTATCTGAAGAGAGAAGTTTGACATTTTATTCAGTGTTTACCAATTCTCCTTGTACAGTATATTTTATAATTATTTATTAGTTAGGAATACGTGACATGACACGTCAATTAAATGATAAATAATTTAATTTTTTAGATCTATCGTAAACTTATTCACCAATTAATTTAATTTCAAGTTTATTTTCACGAAATTGGATTTAGTTTTCTTATCTTAAAAGCTCGACAATCGAAAATATTTAAGAAAAAAAGATTAGTGACTTTAATTAATTGACTGTTTATTGCATACCATGTAACATATAGTATATAATTTTAATAATTATTATTATTTTTAAATAAAAGAAAAAGAAAGTGGAAAATTAAATGGCATCACATGAAGATAAGGGCATTAAGGTAGGAACTCAATGTCTTAAAGTCTTTCAGGTAGACAATATCTCTCTTATCATTTTTCAATTTCTTAATTTGGAAATCTCATAATGAATCATGGTATCATATAAAGATTATATATGACTTTGTTCTGTCACGTTCGTATCATTTCACATACATAGATGGTTATTTGGCAAATTTTTCGATTAAATTTTTGAATAATTTGATAAAAATTAATAAAATATGTGATTTAAAATTATCCCGAACAAGCACTAATATTTTGTTTTCGAAAATTGTGACCCGAAAAGATATATAGATGCGTACATATGTTACAATACCGTGTGACGCCTGCTGTTTTTTCATTCAACAAGAATAAAAAGTCCACAAAGATCACTGTCAAAAATAATTAAATTTAAAAAAAATGGATAATCAAGGAAGAAATTAAGGCAGAATTTTCCATTTAACGATGGTTACACGTAAGATTATCATTTATCAGTTATTAATTTGGCATCAAACCGTCCAAATATCTTTATCAAATATGTTAAAATTAAGGCGTGGCATAAAATTAATTCGTGGGTTATTTGGTGAGATGTAACTGTAATGGAATGTGGTTGAGATATAACTTTCGAAGAATACTTCGTGCGGGGTGGGGGTGGGGTAGTGTAGGGTATGACTCAGCTTGTCTTAACGTAAACACCTAACCTAGAACTCAAACCATTACGCCAAGTCATGCTCCTCCCCCCCAACCCAACCCACCATTTTCCCTCTTCTTTTAATCGAAGTCCAACCCCAACCCTACTCATCACAGAAAAAAAAATCTCTCCTTAGAGCCCTACACACAGAAATTTAAAGAGAGAAATCTAGATAAAGAAATATATGGAGGGTCTTATTCCATTTGTATATAAAGCTATAGTGCAATACAGAAACGGTGGAAAGGGAGTCATGGGGACATGGCTAAACGAACCATCTTCTACTTACTACGTGAGGCTTCCAGGTGACTCAGGCCGGTTCCAGCCGTCGGATATACAACTTTTCCGATCAGATTGTGGCTTCGCTGCTGGTTCATCACCGCCGCCAGATGGCAAAAGATTTTCTTCTCAATCAGCAGGGCGCCATTTGACCTCTCGGCGAGCTGTCAAGGGCTGATCAGTCGATATGGTGACAGAATATATTGCGTGCCAAAGGGAAGTAATCTGAACTCGTTAAATACGTATGATTGCTTTCGATAATCTTTAACAATTAAAAGCAGCTTAATATCTACTCTTTATATTTCCAATAAGTTTGATATGTTGGTGTATTTTACTGTGTGGATAACCAAAAAAGGACCACATAGCTATGTAAAATCTCAAAGTGTAAATATTTTCTGTGTTTTGTGTGTGAAGTAATTTACAGTTGTTAGTCAAGTCAGGCCTCCCTAATAATTGGGTGTCTAATTTACTGGCTTACAAGTATGGTTTTGTATGGTTATCTTTGGTACTTTATGAGGTATCTGTATTTACCTATGCACTTGCACGCATTAGAAACGCAAGACCAAGGCCCCTTCCAAGAACAATAAAGGTGAGGGACGCTGCAATATTCGTGATCCGATGCTCCAAGTCAATTATCGAACAGAAAATAATTGAGAGCAGGAACGACACGAAAGGAAGAAGAATAGCTGGAGTCACAGTTTATAATTATAGTGTTAGAATATCGAATGATAATTATTTTTTAACGTGCGAGTATTAATATGGGCAAAAGAGGGTAGCTGAGGCTCTCAGTATGTTTAATATGTGACCCATCCAGATGGCTCGTGAGTCAAGCTCAATGATGTCAGATTATAGTCATCATAAGCCTATGATCTCTCATACATTGTCCTAAGCAAGAAAGAGAGTATTTAACTCTAAATGCAACTTGCACAAGGCACCGGGAATTTGACATCAACCGCCTCAGATTGAAGAGGTCCATTTGGTGTGGCTAAGGGTTGAGTCTCTTCCGGTCACCTTGGATTGAAGAAGAGGTGAAGCAATGAAGAAGTGCATTGCCTCGGAGGACACCTGGAGAGGCGTCTCTCGAAGGAGTGCCTTTCGGGGGAGATTCGAGGCCTCTCCCAGAGGAGGCTGAAGAGGCTCGGAGGAGGTCCGCAGTGGTGTCTGGGGGAAAGCCCTAGAGAGGTTATGTAGTTGTTTGCATCTTGTTTAGCTGATAGCCGAATGAATAGAGGCTTAACAATATTCTCTAGTAAACCAATGTGCTCCATCAGAATAGCAGTTGGTGTCAAGAATTTACTCATGTGGTTAGGTCATGTTTGACACACATTAAAATTTTATTTCTCATTCTTTTACTCATTTTCAACCACACATTTTTCAACAAAATAATATTTTCTATCACATCAATAATTTTTCCTTCTTTTTCAACCATGCATTCTCCATTAATCTACTATTTCAAAATACATTCTTCCAAAATAATAT